TGGACATGTTTATGGTGTTTAAGTTGCACTTGATCATTTTATGGCCCAGGATAGATGGATTTGTATCAGCAAAACCATTCAGATAAAGAAAAGTAATGAATTTGCTTCTCAAAGATATGCAATAATGGTGCCTTACATTCTCAACCTTAAAGAAAATAATCGACTAGTTAGGTCTGATTTATCTGTTGTACTGATTGCTGTGCCTCCCCTCTTGATCAGCATCCATCCTATTTCCAGTTTTAATTTGGGGCAAAAATAGGACTTTCATGAACATTTTTCCTAAACTTCACATGAGCCAACTTTCAGCTCTAGATATGGTATCTTTTTATTACAAAGAAAGGATTTGACTATTTTTCTACAGAGAGATCACACACCTATTTGTCTGTCCTGCTACCCTTGAGATGTTGTTGATGGTCTTCATTCATCATTCTTATTATCCTCATCTTATTTACATATTGATAGGCAAGAGAAGGCTTAGATTATAAAGTAGGAAGCATGGACCTTTCTAATCCTTGTAATTGTTCTTAAAAATCTCAAGGATGAAGAATTTGGAAATCTTCCCACACCTTTCTAGAAACTTGTGTTATAAGTCTATTGAGAATGCATCATATCCTTAGTGCAGTGAAAAAAAAAAAAAACAAAACATTTTTTAAGTCTGAGCTGGGCATGATGGCAACACACTATAATCCTACTACTTGGGCGGATGAGGCAGGAGCATCTTAAGTTTGAAACTGACCTGGGCTACATAGTGAGACTTTATCTCAAAAAGAAAAAAAAGTCATATTATTGTTTCTAACTCATATAGTATTAAATACTCTGAACTGAATAACTAGTCATTCAGACTCAGAAATCACCAGAACAGAGTAACTGTAGCCAATACTCCACCAAAATTTGTTCTCCATTTTGACTGATGATGGAGCAGACCTGAATTGCCTGATTTGAAAAGCAAAATAATCTTATTTATTTATTTTTTAATTATTCATATGTGCATACAAGGCTTGGGTCATTTCTCCCCCTGCCCCCACCCCCTCCCTTATCACCCACCCCGCCCCCTCCCTCTCCCCCCCCACCCCCTCGTTACCCAGCAGAAACTATTTTGCCCTTATCTCTAATTTTGTTGACAAGAGAGTATAAGCAATAATAGGAAGGAACAAGGGTTTTTGCTAGTTGAGATAAGGATAGCTGAAAAGCAAAATAATCTTATGTAAATAGTAAGCCCTCAGCAAAAGTTTATCTCTATGATGAGAGTCCACCCATCTCCACCCCAGTTAATACCTGCAAATGTGTGCTCTGATCATGATGTGATCTAAATGCGAAGGAGCCATGGAGGAGGAATTCTTCCAGGGAAAAAGGAGTGATAGTGAGATGCTGCTAAAGGAGGAATTTTGGTGGGATTCCCAGAGGCTGAGCAGGAAGCCTGAAACTTAAGTTCTAGTGGGGGGAAAATAACCAAAATCAGGATATATTAGTAAACATAAGTGATATTTGGAAATCAGAAGTACTAAGTTCAAAAACAAGTTTGGGAAAAGGAAAAAGTAGTGTCAAGTGGGAAAGAAAGAATGCAGTTTTAGATAGGATATCCCAGAAAGGCATCACCAAGGAAGTGACTTTTGAGCAAAGACTTGAAGGAAGCAAGGGAACTAGTCTTGTGAAAACTTGGGGAAAGAGTATTCCAGAAAGTGGGCAACACACATAAAGTCCCTGATGCCATATTTGTTTGATGTATTCTGAATAACAGAGTGGTTGAAGATAAGACCAGGAAGGAAATAGCTTATACAGAATCTTGTAGGTCAGTGAAGGAACTCAAACTTGTACCTGTGTGAGATGAGACACCTCAAGAAGGTGTTCATAGGGGCAAAGAAATGGCTTCATTTGACTTAATTTTTAACAAGATCATTTTAAGAAAGGAATGGGGAACTGTGAGAAGGGAAAAAAGAGCATAAGCACACTTAGATGAGGAGACTGTTAAAACAGGATATAGGCAGAGGTGATGGTGCTTGAAGATAATAACAGGGAAGGTGATGAGAAATGGCTAGAGCCTCATATTCTGGAGGTTAGACAGAAAAGATTTGCTCGCAGACCGGATATGAAGAGTGAGAAAGTGGAACATTAAGGATGACACCATGTTTTTGGATTAAAGGAGCAAAATGGTATCGTCATCTACTGAAGTAAGGAAAGGGATCAGATTTTGGTAAGCTTAATTTTGGTAAGTATACCATGTTAAGTTTAAGGTGCATATTGGACATTGCATATATGAGTCTGCATTTAGGGAAGAGATGTAAGCACTCAGAGAGTCATAACATGTAAATTTGAGCTATGAGATGGGATGAGATCATCAATGGAGTGAGTGCAGGTAGAAAATAAAAATGTTCAAGGATTAAATCCTGGGGCACTTTGATGTTTAGAGGTCAGGGAGATGAGACCTCCCAGCAAAGAAAAGTAAGACAGGAAGCCAAGTGCAAAAGGTATTAGAACAAAGAGAAGAGTCAGTTATGTCAGGTCCTTCTCAGGTCACGGGAGATCAGGACCAAGAATTAACCATGGAGTTGTGATATGTACGTCATTAATGACTTTAGTAAGAGTAATTTGGTTGAATTTTTAGTAGACTAGAGTGTCTTCAAGGGATAATGGAAAGAAAGAAGTTGATGACATCATAAACTTTTTAAAAGAGTTTTATCTTCATGGAAAGGACAAAATAGAGGAGTAGTTGGAAGAGCAAGTGAGATCAACTTGGGAGTTTATAATAGAAATAGTAACCTGCTTAGATGCACATGGAAATAATGTCATAGAGGGGAATAAGTTGGTGTACAAATGCAAAGAGAAAATAATGTGTTTATTTTTTTTATTATTGTACTGGGGGTACAATGTGACATTTAAAAAAGTTCTTATGCACTAACATGCCCAACCTACCCTTGACTTCTTATGGTGACATTCTGTGCAGTCCCAGTACATCAGGGTCTTACCCTAGAGACATCCTGCATTTTTCTGCTCCCAGGTCATGAGTGTGATTCCACTGATTCTCACTGGCTTTCTTTTTTTTTTCTGGCAGCAGGCAGCCGCAGCCACATGAGAAGGCAAAAATGCCATTCACCTTCCAGTTCAGTCTTGACACTTGGTTCCTGTCCAGCTAAGGCCATGCATTACTGTGGTCTGGCCCTGAGAAAGACCCCACCCTGTTGATTTTGCTTGTCTTGCTTCCTCTGCCTCTGTGGGGTCTGTTAAGGAGGGGATTTCAGAGGAGAGCCAACCAACTTCACTGCCAGAGTAGGGTTCCTCTAGCTCACATGGCTCATGTGACTCAAATACCACCCTTAAAAACTTACTGCAGCTGCAGAGCACCTGGCCTTTTGTTTACTCAATGATACTTTGTAAATACATTCACCTTAAGAAAATATTTTTTTCAAGGAAACTCATAAGAAGAAACCTGCCACAATCCAAAAGTTATTGTGAAAAATGAGTATAGAGTCATAAGATGAAAATTCTAAAAAAATCATCTCATTTGCCTCTTCTGAAATTAGTGAAGTATATGTTGGTTGAAACTCGAGACCTGGTCCTCTTCATGAATCGACCACCTGGGTCTTCTCCCACTATCGCTTTTTCCTCTCCTCTGTGATTTGCATTCAGGATAGTCCAACTGAACTATTCTATTTAAGAAGGACATTTCCATAAGGACAGGTTAAGATTCTCCATATAGGGACCTGGCCCATGCAAAGGCCCTGAGGTGGGCAATTATGTATGTTCAAGGAGTGTAACAGAAGTGAAGACACCTGAGGCAAGAGAGGCCTAAGGTGTGGCTGCTGTAGGCAGTGAGTACCAGTTTAAAGATTTAAGTCTTTTTTTAGGAACAGAGGGATCCTGCTGGGGAGGGCTTAAGAAAAGAAGTGGAATGAGCAGTTATGCAGAGGAGGGATTGGATGGGTAACTGGGAATGTAGATACCTGGGAGAGTCTCTGGCAAAATCCACATGAGACCTAATGGCCTAATGTAAGATGGTAGCGATAGCACACGAGAGGAGGACAGAGCTCCAAGACACTTAGGAAGTGAAAGAAAGAGGACCCGGCACTTGTTCAGAATTGGGATGTTAAGAGAAAGGAGGTGAGGGATAGCCTCTGCAAGGCATGGCATGGTAGGTGGTGGTGAAATGCTTTGGGATGGATAATACCAGAGTGGTAGATATAGGAATATCAAGTTTTGGGCATGTTGAATTAGAGGTACCAATGGGACATCCAAAGAAAGATGTCTCCAAATTGGGTCCATGAGTCTGGAGCTCAGGAAAACAGTGAGAGTAGAGGTAGGCCTGTGCTTTAGGTGTGATTATAAAGACTGATATGGTTCACCAGCTTCTTCTGGTCTCTGTGATGAATTTATATGCTACAAAGCTTTCATCCTAGGCAGACTAAAGGGTTGGATCTATAATTTCCCTTCCAAAGAAAGACAAAATACGTTGTTGTGTGTTTAAACAATTACAGATTTGTACTAAAATATCTTTCCTCCTTTATCCTTTCTTTGCCTTCTTCCCTCCTCTGTCTTCCTCCTCCTCATTTTTGTGGGTTTTTTTCCTTCTCAGATTCTGTTCATGGTTTTATTTTTGGTTTTTTGTTTGTTTTTCCCTTCCTGTTCATGTGGTTGCCTCTGGTGACCTTCACTCAGCATTTTGTATGGGCACAACACTGTTCCCAAAAGGTCATCTTATGTAATTTCCCTTCTACAATCTGAGTGGAGAGTTAAGAGACACTTTTTGTAATCAGTTAAGAGGTGACCATTCACTTTACATAGGTGCATGCTGCATATGACAGGATTTGAGAACCAAAGATGCACATTTAATTGAGTACAATTATTATTTATAAGTCATATTTATGCAGCTAGATTAATGTTTTCAATTCTGGAGAAATTTTCAGTGCTAATCATTGTTAATTTAATTTTTAAATTATGTTTTTAAATTTTCAGTTGCTTTTTCTTCTAATTAATGCAGATTCATTTTTGCTTTCTTGCTTAAATAGATCACTGTCCTAGATGAGACATGGACCGTATTCAGGCGTTACAGTCGTTTTCGAGAAATGCATAAAACATTGAAATTAAAGTATTCAGAGGTGAGTTATGAAATTATTGTCTCCAATTAAGAACACTCATTTTATAAGGTAAATGAGCTGATTGCATTAGCAATGCCCTTCCTCCCTCCTTCCTTTCTTCTCCCCACTGCTCTTTTTTCTAATATTAGCATCTATCACCAAGTTTTATTTCCATTATTCATCTATTAAAGATAGCATTTAAGTTTTTCCTTTGTTCCATTTCTATTCCACACAATTTAAAACTTTCTGGACATAAGATTTTGAAAATGACAGTAAATGAAGTCTATCCTGGGGCTGAGGATGTTGCTGAAGTCATAGAGCTCTTGTCTCGCATGCTCAATGCTGCCAAAAAGAAAAAGTAAATAATGAACTCTGTCTTTTCCATAAAATTTATGATTAATTTTAAACATATTTTAGTTAGTTTACAACTTTTCAACAATAATATCTGTATAAAAATATTAATAAATTCCTTGTATAGATTTGTCCTTTTTCTTATTTAAAAAAAGTCTGCATTCATGGTTGGACTTCTTTCCACTTAATAAGAAATCAAGTGATAATATTTTGCCATCAGACATGGGGAGGGGGTTACACAGTAACTGGAATTACCAAAAAGCAAGAAAATATTTCATGTATCAGATCAGATGTCCAGGGTATACTGACACAGTAATAATAATGTATAGACTTTACATATTGTATTAGTACCACTGACTTCCCTAAGAAATATATGGAAAAGGTCATTTATTTGAAACCAAAAATGCAAGTTAAAAACACACACACACACACACACACACACACACACTTCATTCCATGACTGTATTCATTTCATACCAATTCTTTCTTTAGTTTTTAGCTCATTCCATATAGGCATGTTTTTCTAGCTTCTAGTAATGCAGTAGTGGACAAGAACAAACATCTCTTCTCTTATATATTTTAAATTCACATGGAGAAAGACTGATAACAAATAAGGATAAATAATAACTAACACTTACGAGTAAGCATGCTATAATTGCAGTTGCCATTTTAATTAAGAGTGATGGGGCAGAAGGCATTGGGCGCTTCAGTATAATGTCATTCAGGTTTGGGCTCTTTGGAATGATGATGTTCCAGTTTAAATGTGAGCTGAGAGATAGTTAAAGGAATTTGGAAAGAGCTAGTACACATTTCTAATTAGTGTTTTTAAATAAAACTCCAGAACAAATATACCAGAAGCAATCTTTAAAGAAACCCGTCCTGCAACTAGGAATGAAGTGAACATTTGAATTAGAGGTACCTGGTTCAAAATTAATGAACAGAGATTACCACATGTGTAAAAACTTTTCAAAAGGAAAAATATGTATTACAAACATGTTGAAAAAGTAAGTGATCTTCAAACAAAGAAAATCAAACTGGCTTTATTCACTCACCAGTCTATCTTGAGCAATTCTGTCCTACATGTGGTTGTGATAGAGAAATTCTGGTCTCTCATGAGTTTATTAGCATAAATTAATTGGACAAAGGGGATCCATTGTGATATTTACATCTATGTATATAATATATCACATCCGCCACCTCTGTTATTTGATCAAATCTACTACCTTTGTTATTACTATTTCTTAAACCTTCTTCCTCCTCCCCCTTCCTTTTTTTTTTAACAGGTTAGAGGGTTTTATTATGTTATGTTCATATGTATATATAATGTAATTTCAATCATATTCATCTGCTGTCCCCCTCTCCTTTACCTTCCCCCACTCACTGGTTCTCCACCGAATAGTCCTCCTTTATAATCATGTCATTATTTTTTTAGGCCTATATTTGACATATGAGTGAAAACATGCTGATATTTTTCTGAGCTTGGCTTATCTTGTATAATATGGTGATCTTCAGTTCCATTCATCTTCCTGCAAATGACATAATTTCAATCTTCTTTATTACTAACACTCCAGTGTGTGTGGTGTGTGTGTGTGTGTGTGTGTGTGTATATGTATGTATGTATTTTTTTTTTTTGTTATCCAGTCATCAGTTGTTGGTCCCCTAGACTGATTCCATAGCTTAGGCATTATAAATATTGCTACTATAAATATAAGTATTCTGGTATCTATGGTTTGTTGTCTTACATTCGTTTGAATAGCTGACCAAGAGTGATATAGCAGGATCGTATGGTAGTTCTATTTTTAGTTTCTTGAAGAACCTCTATACTGATTTCCACAGTGGATGAACTAATTTCCATTCCCACCAAAAATTGTGTAAGGATTCAATTTTCCCCACATCCTGACCAACATCTGTCATTGTTTTCTTGACGATTGTCAGAGTGGAGTGAGATGGAATCTTAGTGTCACTTTGATTTTCATTTCCTTTATAGCTAAGGACATTGAATATTTTTCATGTGTTTTTTAGCCATTTCTATTCTTATGAGAAATGTCTGTGCAATTGCTTTGCCCCTTTTGTAATTGAATTGTCATTTTGCTGTTTAATTTTTGGAGTTCTTTGTATTTCTGGGTATTGATCCTTTGTCCGATGAATAGCTTGCAAAGATTTTCTCCCTTCTGTGGTTGTCTCTTGATTCTGGTAATTGCTTCCTTTGATGTACAGAAGTCTTTTTTATTTGATGAAACCCCATTTGTCAATTCTTGTCTTATTTCCTAAGCAGTTGGAGGCCTATTGAGAAAGTAATTGCCAATGCCTTTAACTTCAAGTATTTTGCATTAGTAGTTTTAAAGTTTTATATCTTGCATTAAGATCTTTGATCCATTTTGAATGGATAGAGGGCAAAAGGTAGGAATCTTCAGTATTCTACATGTGGGTATCCAGTTTTCCCAACACCAAATGTTGAAAGACTATCTTTTCTCCAATGTGTTTTTGGAACCCTTGTCAAAATTTAGATGGCTGTAGCTGTGTGGGTTTATTTCTGCATTTTTTATTCTATTCTGTTGGTCTATGCATCTGGTTTTTGTGCCAGTACTGTACAATTTTTGTTACTGTGGCTCTGTAGTATAATTTGAAGTGAGGTATTATGATACCTCTAACATTGCTCTTTTTGCTCAGGACTGTTTTGGCTATTTGGGGTCTCTTATGTTCTTCTGTATGAATTCTTTGATTGATTTTTTTATTTCTGTGAAAAATGACATTGGAATTATGCTGGGGATTGTACTGACTGTGGATTGCTTTGGATAGCATAGCCATTTTCATAGTGTTAATTCTGATAATCCATTGTAGGTCTTTCTACCTTCTGGTATATTCTTCCTTTTTCAATGTTTTATAGCTTTCATTGTTAAGTTTATTGCTAGGTCTAAAAATCATTTTATTTCTGTTTCAATTTCTGGCTCAATTTATGCTCAGACCATTAAATTCATGACTTCTTTTAACAGGGGCCCTTTTCCTAAAGACAGACTCAGGATTGAAACGGTAACCAAGATTGGAAATTGCTCTCCAAGTCAAGTTCAACTTTGTAATTTACATTTACTTTGTCATAAGGACAAAAAAATGATTGGTTATGAAAGAAAACATTGAGATGCATATGTGCGTGTTTTTTAAAGAGAAGAGATAATGTGAGCAGTGTTTTGAAACCCTGCATTAAAGCTCCTAAAACAAACATGGCATTTGGAAAGAGAAGCTGTGCTGGTGCTATTCTGCCTTTCAGTTACCATAACAGTGACCATTTACTGAGCACTGATTTATCATGGACCTGGTGCTGTACTTTGCATCTCCTATGGCTTTTCATCTGATGACACTGTTAACATGGGCTGTTACCAGCTGAGAGTGAGAGGTTTAAATAACTTGTCTCTTGTCACACAACTGGTAAGTGGAAGCCAGGGCAGAAAACTAGGACTTTTGGCTTCATTTGCTCTTTCTAAAGCCACAATAAAATTAATACTTGGAATTTTAAAAAACTCTTATGATCTCTAAAATCTGAGTGGCATGTCATTCTAGATCTAGGTGAACAGCGTTGCTCATTTCATACTTTCAATAGGAAGCTTAAATGTCAAGTTGAATATCATCAGCTGTATATTTTTCTGGGATTTTGGCTTTGTTTTGTGCAGCTCGGCTCACATCATCTTATATATGCCGGGATTTAAGATCAATACTATAAATTGGGCAGTTGTCAAGTATTATTGTCATTAGTGCTCATGTTATTATCATCTCTGTCTGTATGTTAATCTCGAAATAATCATCTATCTCCAAATGGTCTGTTTGGCCTGATAGCGTGTGACTTACTAACAACCTTACTTCTTTAGGACAGCTAAAAGATTGCTATAGAAGGTACTGCAAGTTTCCTCTCATGGCCAGCCCTTTCACAGCCAAGTGGGAGCATGTTTTACTTACCAGATTGGGCTCATTATTTCTATGAAAATAAAGCAAAAGTAGCAGTGTTTGATAATAATGTTTTTTTAAATGATGTATTAAGTTTACCTAGTCATTACAAGGCTCCAAAATTTAGATCAGGTTGGAGAAATACTGAGGAGAACAGTAGAATTCAAAATGTACAGAATCTGCAATGTGCTTGCCGAGATAGATGACCATTTGTCACCTTCAAACTTTGGCTTTCTTCACATATATAATCTTTTGGAATGTTATCTAAAATTATATCCTGTTCTTTCACATTTCTTTCTGGGGCTTAACTTTGTTCTCTTGAGGTATATACTCTAAAATAGTTTACTATGACAGTTCCTTTTATGGCAATATTTTTCTTTCAGTAATCTTTTTTTATTTTTCAAATAATAGATCACAAAAGATGTCTATATATGGACTGAAAGTTTGTCTTTGTTGTTTTTGGGAGTACTGGGCTTTGAACTCACAGTCTCTTTGTTACTAGGCAAAGCTTCTACCATTTGAGCCACACCTCCATTCCTTTTGCTCAATTTCTTTTTTTTTTTTTTTTATTCATACGTGCATACAAGGCTTGGGTCATTTCTCCAACCTGCCCCCACCCCCTCCCTTACCACCCACTCCGCCCCCTCCCTCTCCCCCCACCCCCACAATACCCAGCAGAAACGATTTTGTCCTTATTTCTAATTTTGTTGTAGAGATAGTATAAGCAATAATAA